AAGTTATTTAATTGTGATAGTTAAATAACTTGCTATGAAAGCAAGAAAATTTGCTCCTGCAGCTAATATTTTTGTCCATATATTAGCAAATCTTTTTTTTCCGTGTATTTGTCCCAACGATAATAAATAAAATAATAGCTGATGCCTTTTGAATGCCAAAAAGCTTTCGCTTATTCAATTGAATTACTAATGTTGAGGAAATAAATATATATAAAAAATATGTTAAATTCAAACAATATCTTAATCAATTACAAGGATTAATTATTTAGTTTATTATCCAGAAATTACAAACATCTATACTAAGAAAAAAGTATTTGGAAATTTATTTGCGGGATGTAAAGTTTGTTTCTCTGAAATAAAATTTACTTTTCTATGAAGTAAAGTTTATTTCTGTAAATAAATTTCATATCTCACACAAATAAATTCACAAATATTTTTTTCTCAGTGTACCGCGAGAATAATTGAAAATCTATGGTAGCATCTACGTCAATGTCGATAAACGTAATGCAGATCGAAAATATTATTTCAGCTTGAAATTACAGTCTGATATTTGCGAGCGTGACGGTAATATTATTTCTCACAGAAGATAAATTCTGAACCCGACACTTTATCGTTGTTTCGCCGGCGAAAATAGGAAAACAGCTAACGATTTCGCGCGTTTATTAAATATACATCTCACATCAAACATTTCTTGAACAACAGTTCACTCTTTCCGTATCGACACGACGTCATGTTGCTCCATTTTGCAACACGAAGGCCAACACACGCGTCACGTAACACAACGTAGTCGCGAAGATTCTGTTCGCCATTCACAAAGAGGCTTATAAATAATAAAGCACGTTCAGATAATATTTATTTCCGTCGGTCGCGGAATAAATGATGTACGCTTTTCGCGGGCGGCTCGTCGTCGCGAGCGAAAATTTGATCGATAACACGAGCACCGCTCCCTCAAAGAAACGCTCCGAGCGCGACGCTTCTATCTGAATATCGAAAATCACTTTCACATCGTTGCCTAATTGATCGACGAGAATTGAGCTCGCCCGTAACGTCGCCCGTAACCCGCGTTGATCAAGGGTCGAATAATAAATCACGTCCTTTTAATTAAGACGATAATTGACAGCGCTTAGAGGCAAAGAGAGAGAGAGAGAGAGAGAGAGAGAGAGAGAGTGCGCGCGCGTCTTTTACGAATCGGCGGGGAAAATCCGTTTCCCTCGGAAAAAGCGCATATCTTCCTGAGTGAAGAGCAACGGCGATGCTCTTATTTTCAGCGCGAATTATCGGATGTGAGTTTACTTCTGTTGAGAATTGAAAAAACGCGTCCTTGTTATCTTACTGCGCTAATTATGTACTACTGGAAAAGCGGGCGCTCTTAATGAAAGTTGCGAACGAATTTTAATTATGTAGTTCGTTAATTGGCAACTTGGGAATTTTAGATCAGTTATCTCTTCTCGCAGACCTATTATTCACATTAAGAGATCAAACGTCACATACTGAGAAAAAAGTGTTCGACATTTGTAACTACAACAGCATAGAGAAATAATTACTACAAATTGTTATCGAGATAACTTTTTTCTATTAAATTCTACTGTGATGTTGGCGATAGTAATCTTACATGCATGTTGTCACTACTATTTTCGTGTTGTAAACAATCAAAAGTAAGTATATACTTTAGTTTGATCAACCATATCTTCTTTTCAGTTCCTTTGTCTCGCATAGATTGAAAATATGTTGCACGTGAATTTTTTTTTGTACGCTAATCAGCTGACATCACAAATTTACATGCGCATGTAAGAATGTTTGCGTACCGCGATTGATGCGTCGGCAAACACAAGACAGAATTTCATTCTCCACGGTGGAAAGGAAAAACAAACGATTGTCCGTTTTGCGAGCGCGAATAAAATGCAAACATTGATTCCCGATGTGCGGTATGGCGAGCTGCGAAATGACGTTTGGATCCCGACGCGTCAGAACGACCTTGCTTCGCTTTCTGAGATTATTGCTCCGCAACGAATCGCGATCGATATAGCTGAACATCCAATTGCCGCGAAATTGCATAACCCGCGCAGGAAGGTTATTTCGTTCGCTTAGCGCGCGGCGTGTATAAGGGCGAAGTACAAATACGAATAGAGATCGGGCGATATTTTATTTGCCGTGCCGTTTAAATCGCGCCGATGACGGGTATCGTAATGTATCCGCGCGATACACGAACGTAAATAACACGACTGTAATGACTTCGCCGGCGGACAGATACTAAAAAGAACATCGTGGAAGATTAATGACTACCACTGAGAATTGTCGTATAATTTGAATCGTACTTAAGAAAGCATACACAAGAGCGATGCATCGTGAATACTCAACCTTTCGCGTTGGACAAACGTAGAAATATTATTAAATCGTACATGAAAATTAAAAGTTGACATTATCTCCATATGTCGTTAATAATATTGCCTGCATTCTAAACAAGTAACGTGTTGTATCGTTCTAGTAATTTTCTGGGTAACAAAAGTGTATCTCGCGAATTCTCAGTAAAAGTCAAGATCGATGATTACACTGAGTGTAAAAAATGGTTGATATTAAATTACAATTAGTCTCTTATGCTCAACTATGTGTTTTGGTTATAATAGAAAAATTTAATAAAAACACGGTTTACTTGACTTGAATTTATAATTATCTCCCTTTGTAGTTATACTTACACATACCAAATGTGTCTTTCTCAATGTACCACTGAAAATTGTTGCACAATTTAAATCGTACTTAGGAAAATATATACGCAATACATTGCGAATATTCAGCCTTTCATGTTGGAGTCGTAGAAAAAAAGTATTTATATATATCGTACATGAAATTAAAAGTTGATATTATCTTCATGTGTCCTTGATAATACATCTGCATCTACACAAGTAATGTATCGTCCCGATACGAACGGTAATAATTAAAATAATAAAAATTAAAATAATAATAAAAATGATTAAAATAATAAAAATTAAAATAATAATAAAAATGATTAAAATAATAAAAATTAAAATAATAATAAAAATGATTAAAATAATAAAATAAAAAATTATATAAAATATATAATAAAAATGATAATTAAAATAATAATAAAAATAATATAATTTTCCGGCTAATAAAAGCGTATTTCGCGAGTTTTCAGCCAAAGTGAAGCAAATCGTTGTATTTAGTTTATAATCTGGCGAGTTAACGCATCGCTATCGCCGCCGGCGCAACGAAGCTGGTTTTTGTTTAATAACCTTACTCCGTGACACTCAAGGAGGGTACTCGTAGAACGCAAGATTCTGTGCTTCTAATCAACGGACTGTTTTCCGGAATTTTCTCTGTGCACGTTATCGTATCGTTATCGGCTTATTAAATGCGCTAAGCACAGTTGTAATAAAAGAGACACTCGTTCTGCGTAAATTAATAGCAACTTATTAATAACCAAGAAAAAAAACTACACACTAATACCTGAACCGGTCGCAGCAGTATTTAATCGCGGTAAAATTCACTTGTACGTTATAATACGATAAATCCCCTTAAATATTACGAACCGACTGCATATTAATGATAAAGGTCGGATACTGCTGCATTATCGTACGCTGAAATGCACTTTCGAAATATTCACACCGAACTCGATTGATACCCAAAATGGTCCGCGATTAAATCGGCCGAATATTCGCCGCGCAATGTTCAAAGAAAAGACTAATATGTGTCGAAGAAAAGACTAATATGTCTCTGTAATCAGAGTGTTATTACCTGATACGTCTTCTGAGAAGTCGCAGGATTCGTCGCTTGAACGTTCCGATGCGGGGCGATCGCGATGCGTGTGCGTGTCATCACGCCGGGCGAATATGCTAGTTCGCAATTTGTAACTGACCGACGCCATTACGGCGTATTGAGATACTTGAGTCGCGTCCCGAATATTGCACTGTTTTGGAGCGCGACGACTCACTCACCGCGGCGTCTCGCGTCCTACTCGACCTCCGCGAGCCGCTACATCTCAAGAGCGAGAGAGAGAGAAAGAGAGGGACCGCGCACGGGAGTAATTAAAAACGAGTATATTATGACGAGCGGAAAAAGCACACGGACATGTCACGTACGAACAGGTATCTATGGACAATGGCCGCTCATCGATCAAGTTCCGCGTGAAGTTGACGCGGACAAGAAATGACGCCGTCACTTTGTATACTTCCGCGGTCGCGCACAGTTCATCCCGATCGCCTCCGCCGCGAAAAAAGGATCACAGGTCGCGGATCGCACAGAGAGAAAGAGAGAAGCCGCAGAAAGCCGGCTCCGGCAACCGGGATCACCAGGACGATCAATAGTCGCGTGCACTTTCGAAACTGGAGCATCGCGTATATGCCCGAGTAGCTCTGTTTATCGAGTATCTTTTTCTAGCCGCATGTGCGCGAGTAATGATCACGGTCACGTGACGCCCCCTTGGCCCGTTCAAATTTGCCGAAAGTGCGTAATGCAAATATGGCGAAGTGTAACGGCAGGGATATATCGATCGGCTCACCTCATTTCGCCGGTCCCGCGGTCCAAGGGCAGCGCGGCCGCCGGGTCAGTAAGGAGGATCCGACGATACCACCACCTTCAGGAATCGTGAGACGCGATCGAGGATCCTGCTGCTGGCACGGCCGGCTTCCTACGCATCTCAGCTTCGCTCCGAAAACGACGCGAAGCACGACGACTCCGCGGGCGTGCGAGCGCGCGCGCGACGAGACGTTCTCGAAATTCGACCCGGTGACCGCGATTCGCGCGACGCACGGGGCGGCCGAACACACGGACAGACGGACCGACTGACTGACTGCGGGAGCGCAGCCGGCGTGTCCGATGACGGGGCTGCGTGTATTCACTCGACGGACGAACGAACGAACGAACGAACGCGCGCGCGCGCGCGAAACGAAGCGACACGAACCGGGACTACGCACCGTCTGCACGTCGAGCTCGGACTGAGCGCCTGTGAGAGACGGAGAGGACACGCGCCGAGCGCCCTCCCCCCCACCTCGTCGGCCGGCGCGCGCACTGCGAGGCTCCCCACCACTCGGCCGGGCAGCCGACCTTCTCCTACCACAGTGAAACGACAGGTGCGGCGAGAGTCTCGGTGAGCCGAGCGAGTTCTGAAAATGGTACGTAAACGATGCCCAGCTTTTTTCTGTCGATGTTTGGGAACGCCATTGTCACATCCGCGCGACGACGTTTGTTTTGACTGCGACAGCTACGAGATTCTACGGCGCCGGCGGATTTCGGGCGAGCGATGCGCGTGGATTATGAGAGCGGCGTTAGAGATCGACGAATGAATCGTTCACGCCGAATAGGAAATAGATATATAAAGGTATGTCTGTATCGGATATACCGCGCTAACAGACGCTCTCGGCTCTAATTTATACATGTATCGCGTATTGAACTTACGTTTTAGTGTAGATCTTGAACGAGTCGTCAGCGATGCTCGAGCGTTGATCAGCTTCCGTGTAAAATCAGCCGATAGTCGCGCGCAGCATCGGCGTCATGGAAATTTTGAAATATCTCAAGCGACCAATCATGACGCCCCGTGACGAAGGGAACGACTGGAAAGGACACACGGTGCTTCTCCGCGTAATTGCAAACGGCATTATCGAGAAATTGGATCGTGTAAGTTGACAAGTCTTGTGCAAATTGGCGAGAATTCGCCAATAGAGAACAGTATATGTTGATATAAATGTGAGACTGATTACATAGCCGTGCATACAGTATTCGTGTGCTGAGGTCGCGTCCTTTACTCCGCTGGAGTGGAGCTCCGCGCTTCTAGGTTAAGTGTCATTGTCGCCCGTGTTTTGTAACACGTTGGAATATTTGTAGGTGTGGTGTTTGTCGAGCTACAAGAGCATCCTGATGCGCCCGATGTACGTGAATGCAACGCACGGCACTGACGCGAGCCCTGCTTAAGGCACTGACACCGCACACTTCCGCGATGCAACGGCACATTTTTCTCGGCCGCCGAGATGTAAGGTACATCGGTAGCGTTATCTTATCGCGAGCGATTTTCGCTAATGCATTCCAGCATCGTAAAACAGTCAAGGAAAAGTCGTGGAATTCTGTTAATATTGTGATTACACTTCGCTGTGCGACACCTGCATGCAGAATGCATCTCGAACATTAAATTCCATTGTACACAGAAAAAAAGGTTTGGTTGAATTAACCAAATATCTGGTCGAATATGAACGATCCAGAAATTCCTATTAAAGTAACCTGAATTCTGTTTAAGTCAACCAAACATCTCGTTAACTTAAACAGAATTCGGGTTACTTCAATCGGAATTTCTGGATCGTTCATATTCGACCAAGTATCTGGTTGATTCAACCAAACCTTTTTTTCCGTGTATATTTTATATTTTCATAACATCATTCTAGAAGGCAAAAATACCAATGCTTAGACAACGCACATAACTCTGGACATTGTTGTTATGATTTTTAAGTTCGAATATTTCAACTTTCAACATTAAATGTACATACATGTGTTCTGCACTAAGAGAAAAAAAATCAAATATATTTATTTAAATTTAAATTATTTTATTTAAGTGGAATAAACAATTACTTTCGTGAAAAAGTTATCGTGAAAAGCTTTACGAAAATATATTTTTCTTATTTGAAAAATAATTTATATCAGAATAAGTAAACATCAGAATATCTAACCCGAAAAAATATTTTTATTTCTATTTCTATACTTTTATTCTATATTTTTATTTTTTAGATGCTTTTTTCTCAGTGTATATTGAAAGTTTAAATGCACGTACTTATAGACCAAAACAATAAGACTATTCAGAACACGTCCAGGCGTAGGAGTGTTTACCTTACATCAATATATGCGAAAGTTTTTTCATTGTGGCGCTATGGTGACTCGATACACATGGCTAAAAATAACGTACGATAAGATAAGATAAATTAATATATCTCGCGGTTGTGTGCTAAACGAAACCCGTGGCGAAATCGCGCGACAATATGCCACTGGATTAGAGCCTATTGTTGTTCCAACTTCTTGATGAGCTAACTAACAGTAAAATTATATCTATCTTTGTCTAATTTGCAGGAGAAACAGATATATGAGTTAACTTATTAAGAGATTGGAAAAATCGACTTTTAATCACATTTCACGAAAAAGCAACGTACTATGCCAGACGGCTTTTACTCCATCACAAAGGGGAAAAGAAAGAAACAAAAATGGACTCGGGAGCTGTCGATTCATTAAGTATGAAGGTGAATTATGACGGTGCTCGTTCGCGCGAAATAACTCCATGGAATCGACGGTGAAAAAGTTTTCGACGTGCTTTTACAAGACCGACGCGATTCGAAGCGAGCGCGTGGGTAATTGCAGATTGCCGCTTCTTTAAGTACGATTCCGCGCGCAATTTGTCGGATACGTTAGCGACCATTTATCACACGCTGCAAAATTAATTTAGATGCGTACGAGTGCGCTGCAACACACGGCGGTAGCGTTAATGCCGGCGGTATACGAGGCCCCTTGGACATTTAACATCTGTCTACGCCATGCATATGCACACGCTTACGCGCCTATGCAAATTCACATGTTTTACTCGCTCGTAGCATCCATTCGAAGCGGAGCAGCGAAACCGCTCGCGCGAATGCTGGTTAAACGTATTCACGAGATATACCACCGACTTGCCCGGCGGGCAGTAATCCTGTAAAAGTGTGAAACATTTCCGCACGCCTAATCCCGCACGCGTCTGTATAGATTTTTATAAATCATCCACATAAACATGCCGTGAGGCTTTATCGAGCCGCGCGAAACGTCAAAATAATTACCGCTGGCGAAAAACGTCGCGAGACATCTTTGCATATTCGTCGACACGTACACGTTACAAATAAATAATTTCAGCTGTAAAAGTGCGACGCGAGGAGCACTCGGACCGACAAACGTGGACAAACGCGGGATCGTTTTCCCTTTTCGCGATTTCTCGTTTTAGTAACGCGACTCGTCAAATTCCGACGACAGGCAAGAAAGAGCCCGGCCATTCCCGATGTAAATATATGCGTGAGTGCACGCGTCGTCAAGTTCGTATCTCGCTCCTCCAATTCTCGCCAAACCATTCATTCTCAGAAATGAGCGTATTTTTAAATTCAAATGAGATTTAGCCCGGCCCCATGCCTTCTAAATTTGCTGTCGCCCTCATCGCCATCGTCGTGGCTAGTACGGTGGACACTAATCGCACGTAGCAACGATGTGCCAATTGTTTTAACCCTGACTCACCCCGTTCCGGATTCGCGCCCCTTTCGTGGGACTCGTCCGAGTTCGAGTAAGCACAGCTGAGCCGGCCTCGGCGACGCTCCTCGCCGGCGGCGGATGCATCGATTTTTCCCGCCGCCGCCCGCGCTGCGCCCGCAAGCTGCAGCTCCGCGCGTCGTCTTGCACGGTTTGGACTACTTGCCAACATCCCCTCCCATCCGATTCCGCATACTTCGTCGGGTGGAAGGGTGAGAACGCGGGCAACGTTCCATCGAAAATTTTGACGACCGCGGAAACTGACATAAAAGATGTTTCGTCCAAGCGAGGAAGTTTCTGTTATGTCTCGCTCTGTTTTTCGTCCGCGCGCGTCTGCGTGTGTACGTGTGAATGGCGTAACTTTACCAGAGAGAAAGAGAAAGAGAGAGAGAGAGAGAGAGAGAGAGAGAGAGATGTATTGCAGCTAAAAGAACAGGATTCCTTTGGAAAACACGGGCGGCAATTAGCGCAAGATTTATACAAGGAAGATTTTTCGTGGAATCTTTACGCGAAGTTAGTTCAGTGTAAATTTAATCCCGGAATTAGCGCAGAATTATTGCGGTGAACGAGAGAGCGTCGCGCGTAAAAACTAATTTCGTAAGAACTTGAATGCGGGATCGATACGACGACTGCCGTGGGAACTTAATAGGGAAGTTAATTGCGTGCTTTATTCACGGTATCAAGCGCGCATTGTGCAACGGCCAGGATCTCCGTGAGCGACGCGATCGCGCTATCGAGGAAATCACGGGAAAAAGCGGGAAGGGAAGGAATCATTTCTCATCGGGAGACAGGATCAAAGAATTCGGGGTCAAGTTCAGCCGGCGTGAATGATGGGCCGAACGAAAGAAGCTGCAGGTGAACGTCGCCGATGCGGCCGGCAGTGCACGTTAACGACTGCGGGACTGGTTTCTCAAGATTTCACGGCCCTTCGGACAGGTAGTCCCCGCAGGACATGCACGAGCAAGGGTGCAGGAAATCGAAGGGCTTGAGCCTGCTGAACCCGTCATTGAAACTGATCGCTCGACGCGGGCGGTATCGCGTCTTACTCATGAGCGATTGTCTACTTTCGAGCGATCATGCCGCGTCTCCGCGATGGCCCACCTGCGGGTACGAAATAACATCATTCAATTGTAACTACGAGTCGAGGCGCGTTGGTCAGAGCTTTTACGTGTACAATGTGTCACATTTGATAGCAGAGTCGAATAGAATGACTCTTGAGCCCACATCAATAGTCGTTATTTCAAAGTTGTTTCATATAAGGTATTTCGATGTGAATTTAGAGTTTAATTTGAATTTTCCATTTAAATCATATATATATATATATATATATATATATATATATATATATATATATATACAGGGTGGCCCATGTAAAGTGTTACAAGCTAATAACTCTAAACATATTTGTCCTATCAAAAAGTTGTTCATGAGAAAGTTTCATATATTTGAGGGGCCTTTCTAACTACGTAAACAAAAATCTACTTCCGTCCCGCCTTGAAGCGGGGAGTACCTCAAGGTTTCAAATAGAACCCTCTATACAATGTTACATATTTGGATTCTACAGGAAAAAACAAGTAAACTTTATCTGAAACATTTCTTTGGAAAATGCTTCTATCAAAAGTTATAAACATTTAATGTAGAGTGCGTTGAAATTAATGATAAATTAAATAAGATTCATAGTTTTTCTGTTTGTTTTATTTTATTAAATGTTCGAAATGTTGATCATTAATATCTAAACAGGTATACGTTAATAATACGTACAGCTTGCATTAAGATGACTCCAAAAATCTTGTTTAGAGTTAGGCAAAGTTTTGTAAAAAGAATTAATAAGTGTTTAGATGTTAATGGTCAACAGTTCGAACATTTAATAAAATAAAACAAAACAGAAAAACTGAGTCTTATTTAATTTATTATTAATTTCAATGCACTCTACATTAAAGTTTAAATGTTTATGACTTTTGATAGGAACATCTTCCAAAGAAATGTTTCAGACAAAGTTTATTTGTTTTGTCTCGTAGAGTCCAAATATGTAACATTGTATAGGGAGTCCCATTTGAAACTTTGAAGTTCCGCCCCTCTTCAAGGGGAAATGAATATTTGTTTACGTAGTTAGAACGGCCCCTCGAATATATGAAACTTTCTCATGAACAACTTTTTGATAAGACAAATGTTTAGAGTTATTAGCTTGTAACACTTTACGTGGGCCAC